TCCTGAACTCATCTAAGTTAAAACTAACCTTGGTGTGGAAGAAGTCTGAACCTGGACTAATTCTGCTCAATACGTTTTACCACGCAGCCATCTTAATCAACATAAAAAAGGAGAAAAATAAAGGAAAAAGGAAGGAAAGACTGGTGTGGGAGCAGGGATGAGCAGCTAGGAGTGGGTGGCTGCGACGGGCTGCCTCTTCAGCAGCAGAGCCAGCTTAAAGTGTTTATAAAGCTACAGCCTTTGTTTCTTCAATGTCTTGCAGAACCACATTTTCCTCCTCCTGTTTGTATATGCCGAGCTCCCTCCTCCTATATTCCCAACTCAGCTGTGCACAGATTTACGTCTAGAGGCCAGAACAAGCTTGTTAGAGATATCCGTAGCAGTCTGGAAAAGGCAAGGACTTGTAAGAGTCTCTTAAAAGTCCTTAGGATTAGCAGTAAAGTTTACTGTAGGTTAACTGAGGATTAATTTTTTTAGTGCATTATTCATCTCCAAGACTAGAATTTTGCCTTTTTCTAGGTTTCAGGAATCCCTCTGGGTAAAGCTGCCATCTCATAACATTTTCTACATTAGAGCCTCAAATGCTTACTGAAAAACGTCTTTCAATTTTGCCTTTTCCTCAGCAAAGATCTCTAAGTTTGCTAAAATATTAAACTATGAATTTAATATCCTAAAGGGACAAAGATATCTAGAATACTCGTCGCTTTCATGACTGAAATTCAAAGCTCATGTTCTAAATAGGCTGTCAGAGGAGATGAAGCATCCTGCCTATTCAGCTGCATCCTGCTCCTGGAAAACTTTATTTTGCTGTACAATTTTAATTATCCCCTTTGCAGCTACAACAAGGAGGAGTAAATAGAGGAGCAAGGGAGAGCTAATGAATAAAAATCAAATTAAGGATTTGAATTTTCTGTGAGAGGGGCCTGAGGAAAGATTTGGATGCCTCCACTGAATATTACGGATTCCATGATAAACACTGACAGACTTCAGTATGTCACTGATTTTCTACTCCTCGTCTTCTCACTCCAGTTTAATAGGTGTGGAATTTTGTAAGGAAGTGAACAGTGGTTAAGTGGCACTACACTGAAAACTAATACCAATTCAAGGCTGAGACTGGGATTAATGCATAAAGCACTGCTGCAACTTCTGGAATTCTTGCTAAGACCCACTTTACAAGGTATTCATTCTACTGGAAGAAAAAAAAACCCAACCCAAACCCAGCAGTGTATTAAGAAATACACAGAAAATAAGAAAATATTACACATGCACACTGTGGAATCACCTAAAGCAGAGTAAATATGATCCTACATACCTTCTGATTTTCTGCTTGCTACCTTTTTTCCTTTTTCAGAGGAAAAAACCCCAACCAACCAGGCCCAAAGAAAGGCAATCCTAACTGCTGTGGCCTTTTCCTCTCCAAAGGCCTTGCTAGCTTAAGGGCTCGCTAATTCTAACAGCATCTTAAAAAAAATAAAAAAAAATAGGGGAACCCCAGTGTTCAGAACCACTCTAGTTCAGAGTTGATCTATCAAACCCAAAGTAAACTTTTTGGCATCATGCGCAGATCTGGCTGCATAAAGAGACAGTCCCAGCTGATAAAACACTATTAAACAAAACACAATACCAAAAGGCAGAGATTAAGTTTTCAGTATTGCATGAGCATCCTCCAGCTTTTCCAGGGTACTGGCAGGCTCCGACTACATTTCTGGAAAAAGCCTTTTTCTGAGACAGATACTTCAGTTTGCGGTAGAAAGAAAAGAGGAAGGGGCATGGCACAGCTTCACACTCTGGTACGACTCCAAGCTCAGTTTCCAATTCCCAAATGCCTCCAAAGAAGCAAATCCTGGAATCTGCAATGGAAACCTAGACAGAAAGTTTGGCTTCATTTTTCTCACTACTTTTCCTCTTCTGTTCAATTCTCATAAAATTCAGAATTTCTCTCTGAGCCTGTTCTATCTTCCTACCTCTGTTGTTCTTGGTAAGCACACAAGTCAGCTAAAACAGCACCTCCCTTCTTTAGCAAATACCCTTCTTTTCTTCACTCCACACAAGGCAAGTTATGCCTCCTGAACAATCCCAGTGAGAGAAATCCAACTCCATCAGAGTTACTTGGCATATATGTAACCAGGAGAGAGGGCAGTGAGAAGAAACCCTGAATTAGCTCCCTCCTTGTCTGCTTCAAGATAAGCCCCAGCTTGTTGAACACAGTGCCAATACTACTGCTGTCACAAGCATCAAGAGTTAACAGAAGATGTTTTAGAAAACAAGCCTTTAATTTTTGTAAATGATATGTTACTTTGAAAAGCAATAAATAAGGATGTTTTTAAAATTTCTACTTGCCTTTTTTATAAATAAAAATGTTTCCCCCATGACTAGAAAACCTATCACAAACACAGCTTGAGATGCTTAAGGATTATTTTTACCCACCAATTACAGAAGTTGTACATGTCAAATGAGGTCTTAAATATCATCTTTAAATTGCACTCTCAGATAATCCAGCATCACAGACACCAAATGTTGAGGGATATTAGTTAACGTAAATAAGTAAGTTTAAATTAGAATAAATTACTTAAGATTATAATATGGTGTGATTTGTGCTGTTTGCTTAGCTTTACTTAGCATGAGTAGCTAGATTTGCTGAAGCCCTGAGGCCATAATAGAGGTATTTTTCTTAGTAATTTTCCTAGCAGCTGGTAGAGTGTTTAGTCTTTTAGTATGGGAAAGTATTTTGATATCACATGAATGTTCTGGTAGTGTTTTTCCCAAGTCTGGGACTCTTCAGTTCTCCATGTTCCGCCAGCAAGGGCAGGTGCTCAAGGAGCGTAAACCAGAAGATAAGGAGGCTCCAACCTTTGGCTGGAACTGCAAATCAACAAGATAAGAGCCTGCCTGCCCGCACACAGAAAAAGAATCCCATTAGATGTTAGAAAACCCCAAACCAAAAATCACCAACAGACTAGAAGATGCGTGGACCGTGTGGGAAGGGCAGGTGTGTAGAGCACAAGGGTATAACTGCCCAGGGATTTCTTTGTTCAGGGTCCCTCTCTTTGGAAGCACCCAGCCCGTGCTGTTCTTGCTGCTGTACCTTTCAATTAAATTAATTACTTTACAAAATCGGAAGCCTGAGACTCTGCTGTGGGAAACCTGGGGTCTAGCCTGAAGAAGGAAGAAGCATGCCCAAGAATAAGTGTGTGTGCCTGACACCACGAATGGTGCGTGAATGCTAGGGCAGCAGCTCCTCCTTTAACACCAAGTATGCATGTATTTAGTTTCATACAAACTCTTTTAGCTAGATCAATTTCTTCCACACCAGTTAATTCAGAAATAATACCAATTAACTCAATAGATTCCCCAAAATTGTAATGGCTACATAAATTATTACGTCTACAGGATTAGAATTAGGACTTGCTATCTTTAAAGTCTGCCCTTCCTAGTATCTGCTCAACATGTTCTTTTCACTGAATCTGCAAGAATCATAAGCAATTTGGTAACAAAACCGAACTAGAACACAACTTGCTCTCTATGAACTACTTAGTGTAGGAAGAGTCTAGCAGTTTTGTAGGCACGAGTCTCTTGGGGTTATTAATTTGTGTATAAAGAGAAGAGCTCTTGACTTTTTTAAAATACTGATTTAAAGCCTTTGCCAAGGAATATGCGCAAATTCCCCTTCTTGTCCCTCTAAATCACACTTTTACACTAGAGGCAGGCCAGATGTATGGGGTGGGGGCAACTGTTTGATACATTATAACTATACTAATTGAAACGTGCATCCTAACTTACATTTAAGATCCTTCACAGATGAGGCTACTGAGTTGTGCCTACATCAATGCCCATAGTAGAGTGTACACTCATTTATGGATTACAGAATGGGTTCTCTGCACCCACAAAAATGCCTCCTCAGCAACAACTTTGGATTACTAAACTGTAGTAAACTGGTATTTCAGCAGCAGATACTAATAAAAATATACATAAAACTTCTTTCAGTCATTTATTCTACTTGATTTGAAACCTCATGTTGTCTTCTGCCACGTGTAAAAACATTTTAAAGTCATACAAATACCAGTGACCCAACAATCCTGAATACATAGTCCATGGTACAATAAATCAGCACATGGTAGGGATTATCCATTTTATTTTCTTTAGAAATGGATCAATGAAATCACTGTGCTCCAGGAACACACTAAAAAAAATTTAATAGGACTTTTACACCAGGTAGCCTTGCCCTTAACAAAGCTGTACATTGCTTATAATAATGCAGATTGGATCTGGAATAATAGAAACAGAAATTCAGTGCCACCCCAGAGCTACAGTGATAGCAAGTACATTCAGAAACAAACCCTCCCCCCCACCACCCCAAGTCTTCAAAACACCTGCAGAGTCCCATTTCTACAGCTAGCTAAAAATATTCCTGTTAAAATAGAAAAAGATTTTTCTACAAAAATTTGGGAGAAAGTCATGACATTTCATCTAAATTGCTGTGCAGACAACTAAGTACGATGATAGATCAGTCTTCCCAAGACTCGCTCTGCCAAGATTTCACCCGGATTTTCAAGTTCCTAAAAATAGTCCAACATTGCCACCATGTGGTCAGAGATGGGCACGTTCATCAGGACACGCGCATTATGACGTCTCTTGGAGAAAACCCATGACCAGTACCTAGTCGATGAATAACCACACTGCAAGTAAAAAAGGAAACTGAATTCTCAGAACTGAGACCTTATGCAGGGAAACCAATTCTAAGTATGGATCAATGTAAGAAAAATAATTTAAGATATTTTGTGATTAAGTCTTCAGCATCATGACGCTCCCCTCCCTAAAGGCACAATCCGTTTCTGCTCGCTTCTTTCTCAGTACAGCACGTACTCACCAACAAGCAAAATCTACGTGTATGCAAAATGCCTAAGACCATTCATTTCTTTAAACGTAAACGTACTTGGAAAATTTGAAACCTTTTTCCTGGAGTTCAGGAAGCAATAGGAATTGAATTTTAAAATCATCTTTCACATAGACTTTTTCATTGCCGCCTTCCTCACACTGAAGAGATATGCTTCATAAATAATATTTAAGAAGTTGTCATCATTCTGAAAAACAAAACAGGTAATTGTTAGTGCACGACAGGCATTTTGAGTAAAGAGATTAGAAGGTTTTCCATGTTACGGACCAGATACTTTCAACCTTACTCTATTTTAAAAAGTGAGCAATAGAAGGCTATTTCCCTCACCAAAAAGATGTATTATTTCCAAGCCTTGCTAGTAGTCTTAGAAGAACTGTACATGAATATAAACTTTACTGCAGCAAACATGACTGTATCTCTATAAGAAGTAATAAGTACACAGAAAGCAGATTTTCCAAACTCACAGTAGATTTGAGTCGACTATTCTTGCACGATAACGTGGTGATGAAACAACCCTGTAATTTCTTCTTTGCCCTCATTTACCTAGGGATTTCCTTAAGTAGTTTCCTCCATCAGGTCAGTGGTAATTCCAAGTATGTCTGAAGGAACAGTGAAACACCCAGGGTTTTGATCCTATACTAAATCCCACCTGGGCAAATCCTTGCATCTTGTTTAGCTCTTTTAGACTTAATGCTCCTAGCTGATGCTGCTCCTTTTGCTCTGATGCTTGTTTAACTTTTTCCTTCTGAAGATCATTTTGCAAGAATGGGTCAACCCACAGTAAGAAAGAACGTCCTAAGTAGCTCACATAAACATAAGAGGATAATTAAAATGATGACACTATTTGAGGAAAATCAGGAGCATCTGAGATTGTACTTTCATATAATGGAAAATAACAGGTAAGAAATTAGTAGTAAATAACTTCCAGGTAACTCAGTTAATCGTAACTACCATCAAAAACAGCAGGGTCAAATACACATTTTACAAGTACAGTTTCAGAGAGTAAAATCCAATTTTCCTTGACTAGTTTCCTTTTAATTTCATATATGGTTTTACTACTGTCCAGATGCTCCAAGTATACAAAGACAGGATAATGTGGTATTTTTAATTTTTAATCCCAAACCAAAAATACAGGGAAAAATGAGAAAAGCCTCTAATTTGTTAAAGATAACTATTTTCTTTTTGGGTCTGTAACTTAAATTGCATTTTAAGTAACTTCAACATTCCAATATGGACTTTTATTTTTGTTCTAATGCCATACAAGCACATAGTTCTGGCCTAAAAATTTCACCCTTAAACCTGTGTCTCTATTCCTTGTGCTCTGTAGCAGGTCTTTAGTTATATAATCTCTCCAACTTCTACTTTTCAAATACTCATCACATGACAAGTTAACAAAAAAATTATTCATGATACCCAACTAGTATATTTTTAGGTTATCTATCTCATATTTTAAAGTTGCTCACACTCATCCTGCAATTTTAACTTCCCATCTGAATTCCTCTTACTGCTAACACACATCTCTGAAATATCTGGCAGCTAGGATAATCACCCATTATTTATCCTTAGCTGAAAATATAATAGATATCTCTCTGGCTCATAGGCTGACCTTATGAAGCTTTCTGTCATCTTTGTTCTTTTCTGTCAAATTTATTATCTTTCCTGAACCTAAATTCAGATGGATTTATCAAAATGCAGTTAAGCCAGCAGTGTGCAAGGAGAGGCTATCACAACCCCAGTCTATGCTATAGCACTCTGTTAACATGCAGCCATAAGTAGCACAACTTTCAATGTATGTTTTAATTATTTATTTAGCCTCTAGACAGACCGATGCAACCGATTATAGGGTGCTTGTATCGAAATGGGAATCCGGATTTTAAGCAAAGTAGGAGGATTCTTGGCACTTTACCTGGATCAGGTGTAGCAGTGTTTCCTGCAGCTGCATCTTTGTCATTGAGCTGCTGTTGACCACAGATGGCTCTGAGGTTTGCAGTGGCAGGAGAAGGCTAGCTGAGCTGGCAGCAGGTTCTTGGTTTGCTGCTGCTAACCCCCCTCTCTCATTTGCTTTTGGTGGAGCAGGTGTAGACTGAGTGAACACCATGGGGGACATCAACAAGGTAGGAGTCACAGTGGCCGGAATGCGTTGAGGTGAGATTACCTGTTTATATAAAAATAAAGTCAATTAAACCTACCTACTTAATTTTATGGGAATAAAGATGATGAAAACTGCAGACTAATTAGCAACAGGTACAGAGACTGCTGGAGATTGCACAGTAGTGTGAAATCACATATACGGACCACATATATGATTTCTTTCTAGATAAAAAGGTCTTCCATCCAGCTTGAGATTGCAGCAATGGATTCAAGTGTGATTAAGTCTGATAGGCAAATGATCTGAGGACAAAAGCATTTTATTACAGAAATGAGACGATATTAAATATCAACACTCTTAGCAAATGCAGCTGTAAAGTCTTCTACATAGGGACAGTGGGTTGTTAAGTGTAATCTTTGAGAATATACTTACATGCAAGTACCATTATTAGAGACTAATCTTCATACCTAATACTAGAAAGTATTTTCCAATTATAACTTTCAAATTACTTTATAAATATGTATGTATTTTTTTTTCTTCTCATTTTCCTTAAGGAGAGGGAAAAGAAAACAGAGATTAAGTCATTTATCTAAACACCCACAGTGAGCTGGTAGCACTGTCAGAACCAACTCCTAACCAACACTCAGTTGACATAAATCAAAAAGTCCCTCAAAGAGAAGGAAAACCTTGATGCTGCAGCAGTTCTGCAGGTTTCCTCAGTATCCTATCCATGCCAACCTGCAAAGATAGGTGTCAAAGAGTTTTGCAATGCATCTTGGAACTCTAGAACATCCAGGACTAGCAAATACTATCAATATAACAGAAAGTTTATTTGCTTAATTTGCAGATATTAGAGCTCTCTCTCCAGATAATTTCAGTAATAAATCTTAATCCTAATCAGCCATCTCCTTGCTATTCACATATCCTTTTTTTTTAAAGAACAGAACATACAAAGGAATTAATACAAGCTCACCAAAGCTGCTCTCTTTTGGACTGGAGCATGATTTTTTGCTACCATATGAAGGTGAAAGGCTACTGCATCACTTCACTCTGTGTCTTGGGTTACATTTCAATTTTGAAGAAAAATTACAATTAAGAAAATAAAACTGAGGTTTGTCTCCTAGGTGTGCAAAACAACATAGTTTAATATTGAAGAACATTCATATTTTTGTAGCTTGTTTTACTTCTTAGTTAGGACTGTTCTAGCCAAGACATTTCTAAACAATGTTAGTTAGACTACAATACAAAGAGACATAGAAAGTAATGAGGAGGACTGAGATCTCATGCTGTTTCATGCAAAATGTGGAACGAGACCTTCAGATTGTGCACAGATGTTCTCTGTGAAAAGATTGTTCTCCTGCCTGTGGAAGACTGACTACCTCCAGACACTTATCACAACGCTTTGGCTCTATTCATCCATGTAGATGAAGTAACTTCTCTTTAATTTACTTCAAGCAAAATTGGCAGGGTTTCCTTAAAACAGATGATTCTTCCTAATGTGATTTAAACAAAAAATATACACACTGGTCTCCAAGGGCAAGAACCTCCAGCAAAGGGATGGTGGTGAGCAGCTGGAGGAGATGAACTGTCCCACTAATACAGCTGAATCTATGAGAGACTATGTCAAAGACCCAGATGACACGTCCTTCGAAATCAAAAGACATTTCTCTCTCGAGTCCAAGGCAAATAAACAAAATCTGAGACGAACTGTGCTCTTAGTATACAGTGACTACTGTCAAACACATATAATGCTGTTGTTTAAAAGACATATGAAAAATTATTTGGTTTCCCTGCACAGAAATGGCTTTTGGGTAGAACTTGCCAAGCATATGGAAGCTATATGGAATAAGCAATATTGCCATCTACTGGTGACACAGCTAATGTCTACAGGCTACTGCAAAACTTAAAATACTTGTGTCAGAAGAATGGAAAATATATGTATCATTTTTTCAGTATAGCACTCGTAAAATGTTGGGGATTTTTTGCTAACAGTTCATGCTCAAAGCTCCTGTCATTTAAGAAGCTTGTACATAAACATTTTTTTTTTTAACATAAAGGCAAATTTTCATTTTAGATTTAGTTCAGATCACCTTCAGTCACTGGGACAACACCCACCAGAAAATGGGACGCTGACCTTGGCATTACTCGTGCAATTCCTACAGCACCATACGTTTGCTGAAAGCACCAAAAATGCTCTGTAGGGACACAATAGCCTTTGGGCCAATCTTTTAGCTTTGAGTAACTTCTCACTAGACGTAACAGCCCTTCCAAAATGCTGTTGATCAACTTCTTTCCCACAGAACCTAACCAGAGTTGCTTGTTCATCCAGCTTCTACTGAATTATCCCCAGCTTTATCAGGTCAACACTTAAATCTCTGAGTCACTAATAACAGAGTAGGAGTCTACGGTCAGTTGTGCAGCAATGAAGTAAGAACAAAAGAAGTGCAAAATAATCGTTGCAGCATATAATACTCCTTCTCTGAACCACAATTGCTTACTAAGATAGCTGTTTTGATGATCTTCAAGGTCTTTTCCAACCAAAATGATGCCATGATTCTGTGTTTGATATTCTGTGTGGCTGCTGGGAGCTAGATGACATGATAGCTGGCAAATTCACTTAACACTATGAACTACGGTATGTATTGGATCTCCTGTAACGCAAACTGGCACCCTCTGTTGCTTCCTACGTGTGTAGAATCCCACATGCATCAAGTGCCCCTCTGGAACATCAGCACCCGATGGGTGCTGTGGGCCTCTAACTGTTTTTAGTGTCATTACTTAAAACTGAAGAATATTTAATCTAAGAACGGTTCAGGAACTTTAAAGACACTTACTGTTAAAATAAAGCTGGCTACAATGCTAACATTGCTTTGTCTTTCAAGTTTAATCATAATTTTTTAATTGATGTTTAACTACAGGATCTTAAATTACTTTTCAAAACAAGTTTAATGTACCTATTGCATTCCTCTTATGCATGTTTACAATCTCATGCTGAAACTGCAGTGAGGACAATTGAAAGGTAATGGTGCGATGCTCATACCAAAGATGCTAGGTACCATGCGCATATTCAGAAGATGTAACACTACATACAAAATGTATTCTTGATGGAAAACGCTCCAAGAAATGAGAAAAATGGGCTGCAAAATAATTGGCCTTCTGAAGAAAACATAAATTTGTGTCAAGGTTGTTGTAAGCACTTTTAAAAACATAATTCTGATTAACATAAACACTTAAGCATGCATGTATCTAAAATCAGGACAACTCATGCCTAACGCAAAGCATATGCTTAAAAGCACACTGCAGATTAATGCTTTTTTATTGCATCTTAGGCACATGTTACTCTCTGTCCTCATAAGGAATACTTCACAGAATAGGGCTGGCACCAGACCAGACCGAACGCTTCCGCATATTATTCTTATTCTTCAGCTTTTTTTTTTTTTTTTTTTTTTGGGTAACTGGTCTCTTCCTTCCCATGTGGGAGATCACAGTTCTGACACCATATGGAGATGCAGCAGAAACCAATTTAAACTTGGACTTGTAATGTGTCAATTGTGGAAAAGACTATTGCTTTCATTTTCTTAGTGCTGCTGATGGATCTAGTGTGTTCCTTTAATGCGATTTTTCCAACAATAGACACTGTCCAGATACCTTTCTATTCCTGTCAGACTTTTTAGAATTTGTTTTTTCTGTATGCTGAATTGAAGTAAAAGAGGCAATACCACAAGATAAATAATTACAGAAAACAAACCTTTTGCTGCATTTGTTGTCAGAATCTGCTTTGATCAATTTTGCATTAGCATGTGCAGATATATTTGTGCCAATTCAATTTCACTTGAATGTCTGTCTGCAGGCATGGCAGCACTTAAAGCCTTTGGTCTACAGCAAGGATGATATTATAAAAAGATTAATGTTGATTTTAAAAGCTGTTTCAAATTTTTATCTTCCAATTTTTTATTTTTTCAAAAGTAGGAATATTTCATGTGGCTAATTCATGGCATGCTACAGGAATAGAGACTTGTTCCTTCATTTTTAGCTCCCCCCCCCTTTTCTTTTTCCTGGCAATCTGTTGCACGTACAAGAGCCCATTCCTTCCCGATTGCAGAGCTTCAGGTGTCCTAAACAATAATAAGTCTTATTTTCATCACCATTTTTATTCTATGTATTAATTCTCATAAACAATATTAAATGTATTGGAAGAACTGCATCTAATACTGTTTTGTAGCAGCTGTGGCTGTGTCAGTCCGTAAAGCCATGCCTAGGCAGTCTCAATCTACTTGGCCTGCTCACAGCCATGCAAAGTGAGACAGTCTCTTTTTGGTTTTTTTTTTTTTTTTTTAAGGCAAACTTGCAGCAATAATCGCAGTGAATGAGACTTGTTCCAGTAAAGATTTTTCTCTTCTCTCAAGCTACTGTCATATTTGTACTCAAGCATCAAATTACTGAAATTGCATTATGTCAGACCTCAGTAATTCCCTTTCCATATTGCAACTAATGCTGGTATCATTTTATTTTCAAATATACACAAAGTCATTAGCCATATCAGCACCAATATAGATTTTTAATTGGAAAATATATCAGCTTATTTGCCATTTTTTATTTATGCATAATGGCTTTTAATGTATAGCCTGGCACTTGCCTCATGTCACTTTTATCTTCAAAGTAGGAATGTCTTATGTCTAGTGATTCAGATAATTTCTTTCACTTATAGCAGGCAAGTTCTATTCCCAGTGAAAAAAGAAGCAAATTTTTGTGCCTCTGGATCCTCTTGTTATTCATTAGTACTCCACTGGAAAGTCAGATTACTATCTGTAAATAATCCTGAATAATTTCAATGACTAATCCCCCCAAAACTCTTCCACACAGATTCAAAGTCATGCTGTTTTAATTAAAACAATAAAAGTAATGATGGCTACTTGCTATATCAAATTCATCTTCCTCTGACTTCTCTCATGGAATTAGAAATCTTGACCTGTCACAGCGTTAGTAGCAGATGTGGCCCTTTAATTGTTAAACGACTGTTTCAGCCTCTGCACACGTAGGACAACTTCCTAGAATAAGGAAGATTCTTGGAGCATGCTGAACTATTCTGTGGTATTCAATTCAGCTTTTAAAGAATTTGCAATAGAAAAATCGCTTTTGAACTTTACACTGAAAAGGTGAATGCTTTAACATTCGGGTAAGTAACTTCTAGAATCCACTACAATACAACTCAGACTCCAGTACAACACAAGTCTTGAAGACAGTCTAGCCACAATGAAGGAAGTTAAAAGGGGCTTAGATGCTTGCTCATCCCCAAACAGGATATTTAAAGACATTCAAGTGTAGAAGATCCTACCGAGAATAAAGTTGTTAACAAAGACAGTAGTTGTCCAGGATGGGACATTTTGTAATTGCACATGATGCTTTTCTGAAGAACAGAAAAATGCATTCATGAGAGAGACACAGTCTCTTGGCATCTCCTGAATTTTTTAAGATACCAATCTGACTGTTACGGTCACAATCACCTGAATTAAGGGGTTTGGGGTTTTTGAAGGCATTCAGGCACAACACTTCTTTTTTTCCCAAAATAAAACATAGCAAATAAAAAAAAATAGCTAATCAATAGCTAGAAGTAGCAGTTACGGTACAAGATAACTAATTCAGCAATATACCAATACTTCCAAAAACTGCTGTTAGAAAATGAGACCTTTTAAGCACTTTCAACAAGTGGCATACAAAGGAACACATACCTGCACAGAGAAAGCTATGACTAGTTTTGTAAGAAAAAATAATTCTTAAACTCCAAATATTACACTCAATAACCAGCAATTACACATGACAGCCCGAGACCAAGTATGGCAACTGAAAACTAGGTGACATTTCAAAATGCCTCTGGAAAAACCCAAGACTGCAGTATTTTTGGTCATTATCAATGTGCAAGAGACGCAGCCTTTAGTATTTACAATATTACAGCTTGGTAAATCATAGCTTACTTCATGTTGTTAAATTATCACCTGCAAAATGAGTGACATGCAACACGTAGGATGACAGTAACAAGAATATACCGGCCAAAATGAAATGAAGACTAACCTTACAAAATTCCAAGTTGAAAAGATTGCTAGATTTTAGTTTATTTATTTATTTAAAATTCTGAAGTTGCCCATTTACCTGAAAGAGAGAGCTCTGTTTCTCTGTACCCGGTGCCTTTTCTATCCAGGAATCCAGTGGTTTCAGTGTATTGGTATTCTGAGTAACAACAGGAAACTTAGCTGCCAAAGTTGGTCTGCTGGACACAGGCAACTGTTGTTCTTGTTGCACTATCTGGAGTTTTTTCAATAACTCTTGAGGTGAAATCACCCCAGAATTGGCTGCTTGATTGCCAGAGAGAGAAAGTGACTGTCTAGGAAGTTTGGATTGTTCCTTACCAAGTGTCTGAGACTCTAAAGTCTGGCCTGGTAGGGAACCATTGAAATACACCAAAGGTGGCTGGCTCATACTGTTTACTGGTGCTGCTGGTGCTCCAACAGCAGCAGGAGTCCTGCTGACCCACGACGATGTTGAGGCAGGAGTCCTGCTGAGCACAGAAGCTGTTGAGTTCACAGATCCTGTTGCACTGGGGTCCATTTTAGTCACTGACCCTGACTGACCCTGTAATTTCTGTAATAAGCTCTGAGTGCCAGCGGTATCCTGAACTACATGAGATGTTGCAATACTGTGAGAAGTCACAGGTTGGAAGAGTCCTGTGAAAGTCTCACCCACAGGGTGGATATTCCCATTTTCACAGAGTCGGTTCTCAGGAAACTCAGCAAGCGGATGAAGGTCTGTCCCACGCACCATGAGCTTCTGAATGGCGGGGCAAAGCTGCTTCTCTGCAGAGGGTGAATGCCTGCTAGGTTCTTCATACGACAGTGAACGTACCACACCCTGCCTAACAGGAAGGTTCTCTTGATGCTGTTTATTAAGCGGTTCTGAGACATCTGGCTTCTCCTGTTTTCCAAACAGTGCTGTCAAAGACAAGTGCTGTGGTTCAGGATCCACATTCTGTGAGGGTACAAAGGAAAAAAGTAAACATAGCTTCCCTCATGCATAAGTTACATTAAGCGATGACAATATTTAGCCAGTATTCAAGGAAAAGCCGAGAAAGCTGCAATGCTCTTTTTTCCCAAGAGACTTTTTAATAGTTTTGTCACATAGGAAGGGCAAGAAGACACTTGTCAAGCTGCTAATATGGGAGAAAACCAGTGAATTTGAGAGATACCAGTGGCTTCACTTTAAATACCATGAATGAGCATCTTCCCTTTCAGCCATCAGTATAATATTAGTAAGAGACAGAAATCTCCCCTTGTGTGCAGCTGGGCCACTTGTTTATCTCCCTGTCACAGCTGAATTCAGTTTTTAGGATTTTGCAGCATGATTTAGCTTTAAGATATATCAAGAGATAGTCTTTTTTTAGATTAACTGAATTCACCTAAAGAAAAAGAACACAAAAAATGCGGTCCAGCAATTGACTAGACCAGCTTGCAATCAAAGCAGCATCTGAAAATTGAAAGACTAGTATTTCTTCCTTGAATCAGGATAGTATGCCTGTAATTTATATGCTTCACATCATATGGTGGAGGTTGAGGGCTTTTTGTAAAAAAACGGATTTGGTTTTCATTAAAATAATTCCTTACTGTGGTTTCACCTTGAATTATTGCAGTGAATGGCTACTCGATTACAGCAGCACTAGGCAGAAAACACACAAAACACTTTACCTTGCTTTGCTGAGATATTCGTTGATGCTGATTTTCACTAGGCTTCACTGGAATTGGCTTGATTAGGTTGGGGTTGCTATAGATGGCAGAGGAACTGGTTATTTGTTTTGGCTCCGAGCAGGTCTTACACTGCAACAGAAAATAAATATTTTTTAGTAAGTGGGGCAGTATCTTTCCCCATAGTTCAACACTGTAATAAAATCCAGACATAGTCAAGTGCTCAATAACCAAAAATGTTAGTTGCAGCACTGATTATGAAATGCTACGCTATTGAAAGAACTACAGCAACTGCAACCTAATTTTCTAAACCCACAAAGCATACGTAAAAACAAAACACTCAAATCCAAGGTTCCCTGAATATGAGGCTTCCCTCTAATTTAAATCTCAGCTCTCTTTCTTACCTTCTGCTTTTCCAGCACTTGGGGGGTGTGGGGGGGAAGCAGCACCTTAGAAACTAAACAACAAACATTCTTTTCCTGCATCAGTAGGCAGCTAGAGGTAGTTTAGATACATGAAGGATTACTGTGCCCATAAAGGACGTTTAAAATGCTTTTTGTTAAAAACTGGAATTATAACAAACTCTTTTACAGAAATATTCCACATTGTGGGAACTTGGAGGATGCATATATCTGCACAGAAAAATAATTAAAGATTTAATCAATTTGTAGAATCAGTATGTTTTCTTATTAAATATGACAGGATTAATAACAATATTTACAAAAAGATGGGCAGAAACAGATGACTAAAAGTGATCATGGACATGGAATGACTAGCATTTGAAGAGCAAAGGGCATGATTTAATTCAGAAAAAGTGCACAGAAAATGCTGCATGAAAGAGAAATAATAAATGGAATAGGAAAAGGTGAATAAGATGGTCTTATTTACATTGTACAAAAATTAGGAATATAGTTAATGAAACTACAAATAGCATTGGGTAGACAAGGAATGCTATTGTCAGTAGAAAACAGTGTATTGGAAGTCATTGTCGCTTGATACAATTGAAACCAAGAAACTGGAAAGATGCTTTCAAGAATTAGCTAACAAAAAGTTAATCCTATTTAACAAGAATATTCATAGTTAGTTACCTGAATTTGATGGGCTTTAAATTTTATGCCACAGGACTAATGGCTGGGTAAGGAATGATCAGTTTTGGTTTCTCATTCTTTCCTCCAAAGAGCCCTGTCTTGGGCATTACTGGGGACAGAACTCTGGACTAGACAGACTGCCATACATACACACAGCAGAGCCACTGCTGTGCAATTATGAAGATGTCAGTGTCCCTTCCAGAACTTTCCAGGACAAACTCCTTAGGATGTAAATACGTTAGGTGAGAAAACAACGCCCACTCTCAAATACACAAAACTGATCATTTAATGCATTTCTGACACCTCCTGCAACAGTAAACAAAGGCACACTGGTTCCAGGGCTGCTCAGTAAAACAGAAGTTGAGTTCTCGAGGGTACTCGAGAGGCTCTAGGACGTACTCAGTGCTGTCTTTGCAACATTTGTCCTCAGGAATCCCAGGCCCCTGAGGCTGCTGGGAAAGTCTGGAGTAATGAAGACTTACCCTCTATAGGGGAGGATCAGGTTCGGTAGCACGTAAGCAAAATGGATGTACACAAGTCCGTGGGACCAGGTGGGATGCACTCATAACAGCTGAGAGAGCTGCCTCTCTCATTGAGAAGCCACTCTATTTTTGCAAGGTAGTGGCAGCAAGTGGGGTTCCCAAGGACTGGAAGAAAACAAATATCAGCACTATCTTCAAGAAGGGCACGAAGGAGAATTTGGGGAACTTAAGGCCAGTTTGCCTCACCTTGATCCCTGGGAAGGTGATGAAACAAATGACTTCCTACTGGAAGCCATTTCTAAACATATTAAGGACAAAGTGATTTGGAGTAGCCAGGATTTACAAAGGGGAGATCATGCTTGATCAACCCAATAGCCTTTTACAGTGAGATGACTGGCTCGGTGGATGATGGGAGAGCAGTGGATATTGTTTACCCGGACTTTTGCAAAGCTTTTGACACTATCTCCCATAACATCCTCAAAGACAAACTGATGAAATGCAGACTATGTAACTGGACACTGAGGTGGATAGAAAACTATCCGATCTGCTGGACTCAAAATATTGTTGACATGAAGTCCAGCTGGAGGTCAGTCACTAGTGGTGTACCCCAGGGTTTGACATTGCGGTCAATACTGTTTAACATCTTCATTAATGACCTGAAGGTTGGGGCAGAGCAGGCTTGCAGACAATATAAAATGGGGATGTGTAGTTAATAGACCAGATGGTTGTGCTGCCATTCCCCAGACTGTCAAGGTCCCTCTGAAATGGGCTGACAAGAACATGAAGTTCAACAAAGGGAAACTGAGGAAGAATAACCCCATGCAGTACACGTTGGTGCTGACCGACTGAAAAGCAGCTTTGCAGAAATGGACCCAGGTGGAGAAGAAGTCAAATATGAATCAGCAACGTGCCACTGTGGCAAAAGAAGGCCAACAGCATCCTGGCTTGCATTAGGTACAGCATGCTTAATTGATCAAGGGAGGTTCACCTCTACTTAGCACTGGTAAGACCACTGGTTAGATCCCTCTACTAAGCACTGCAGTGCTACGCCCAGTTCTGGGCCTCCCAGCACAAGACAGATGCAGACACACGAGGGAGTTCACTGAAAGTCTATGAAGTTGATTAGGGCACCTGTCAAGCAAGGAGACTTTAGAAGAGAAGGCTCAGGGTTAATATCAATGCGTATAAATACCTGATGGGAGGAAGTAAAGAACAACCAAGCCAGGCTCTTCTCAGTGGTGCCCAGTGAAGACAAGAGGCAAAAGGCAAAAACCAGAATATACAAAATCTTGTTTAAACTTAAGGGTTTTTTTGTTTGTTTTGTTTTTTTGTTTTTTGGTTTTTTTTTTTTTTCACTTTAAGGATGTTTGAATACTGGAACAAGTAGCCCAGAGAGGTTGTGGAGTCTCTGTCCATGGAGCTATTTAAAACCTGACTTAACATGGCCCTGAGCAACACACTTTAGCTGATTCTCCTGTAAACATGGAGGTCGGACTAGACTATCTCCAGAGGTCCCTTCCAATCTTAATGATTTTGTGAGTCTGTGCTGAAAAATCATCTTGCAGGTGTTTGGATGGTCAAGGACTTTTCCAATGAATTTCTGAAGACACGATCTTGCAAAGTAGAAGTGTAGTTCCACTCGTGTACCTAGCTTTCTTCTATTGTATGACAATTTTTGGTTCAAATGTTGGTCTTAGAAATAGCTTTAAAGCATGCACAGACAATCATGCCACAGAGTGGTTAGCTATTTGGTTTGAAGAAAGAACAAGCACCTGTCTCTTCTTTCCTGCTATACTCCTACTGCATAAGGTGAGAAACCTCCTTAAGCACTAGATTGGAAAAAACATGAAAAACAAAGTACTGACTTTCACAGTAATGCAGAGCTTCACAGCAAAATTGAATTTCAGTTAAATATAAAACCACGTAGCAAGTGGCTCACGGCTAATCTGAGCAGGCCACATTTGACATGTAAATATATTTAACTCAGCTACATATTTTGCCTTCTCGGGGGGGGACGGGGGACGACACACACCAAAGAAATAATTTTACTAGAATTTGGTATCTTATTCACCCAGAGCTCTTCGACTCATCTCATAGTACAGTGCAAGTTTGATGCCTAAGATGTCCCAAAATTCAAATAAAGAGCTAAGTCCAAAGACTATTCATGGTCAGCAAAAGAGTTTTCTTTTAAAGCTAGTCCATGCTTACCTCCCTTCTCTACGATTCAAAGCCTGATTAATGGAAGCGCTTGACAGAAATCTACACTTAATTGAAGTTTCAGTTTTGCTTTGCAATTCATATTTAAAATAGTTACAAATGGACTGCTATGAAAAATCCTAACAGAAAGAAGCCATGAAAAAGAAGTGTAGAAGACAAGCCTACAATACTAACGTAACTATTAAACCTTTTACACTAAGGAAAAGTAGCTCCGAGTTACATTTATCAATGCTCTGCTTAAACAAATTGTTTTCTTAGGTCTTCCAAGCTTACACGCTGTTATCCTTGAATTTGAGTAACTTTATTTTTTGTTTGTTTTCTACAAGCTTTATTTTATCATTTCCAAGCAATACATATGGACCCTCAACAATGTCCTAGTACAGAGCCTTCTGGAACCTCATCAACTTTTTTTAATTTTAAACACACTAGGACAAATGACTGAATTATTCTTAAATCACTTTCCCCACTTAGTTTCTGACTGGTGACTTACGTTGTCTCTCATTCACTTAATTAACTAGGTAAGATGTCTAATTGTCATTATCAAAGTTTTTTTCATAGTTCAAATACGTGCTTCCCATAGCCCCTATTTGATCTATACTAAAACAAGTGAATCTTTTTTTAGATTGGACAGATCATAATTCCATAGACCAAACTTCAGTAAGGTTAAATAGCTTTTTTCCTCCCAAATTGTTCTCCTTCTACAGGATGCTGTCTTTTCTTCAATATTTCTCCTTCTCAGTGCTATTTTTCAGCATAGCTTTTTGGGAAAAAAACATTAGCATGTATTTAAACTTTTTTCTTTAACATGATGGATAACACACTCTTGCATATTTCACAATAAATTCTGCAGAATTTAAATAAATCCATTTGGCCATTATCTCTCCAGGATATTTTAATAGGCTGACTTCTTCAGAAACCATGAGTACCTTAGATTCCACTGTCATCTCTACATGATCACAGAACTAAGCATATAAAAATGAGGTGAGAAGCAGTAGTGTTTAACAGAGTTATCACTGTAGGAGCATTTTTCAGACCAAATTCCTCAGCAAAATGAACAGCAGTATATACAAAGGCCTATACAGAATGACATTGACCTGACTTGGTATCATTCCCATGATTTGCTAACATGGCTAGTAAGTTGGTATCAAAACCAGGGAAGTATACTGAAGAGAAAAAAAAAAGCCTGTGATGATTTCAAAGGAATCTGCAACTACTCGAGCTCAGAATATAAGGTCATTTTGGCAGATGGGTAGTAGCATAGCCTTGCTGATGAGTAAATTAGGAGCACCAGCATGACATTTTAAGCAACTGTCAGGTGGACAGGTAAAGAAGATATGAGATGCCATCATCATCAAACAGCAAAAAGCAGCATGAAAGAAATGTCACTATGCTCTTTAGTGATGGAACCAGAAGAGTACTCATCAGCTCTGACATCTGACAATAACTACATCTTGTTTCACAGGTCTGTCCTTTAGTCATGTGTCTCGTTCAAAGTTATGCTCCTACAAAAGATGTGTAAGAAATCAAAAGGTTCTACAATCAAGTCAAAGAAATGCTAAGCAACACTGGAAAAAACCCACAGATGTATGTGGTAAACGTTAATCAAAAAGAACAAGACCACCACTAAGGATGTTTTAGGCAAGTTTAGTATAGACAGAGGCATCCGAGGCAAACAACTGCTCTGTGTTGTGAGATTTCATAGTCTACCTGTACAGTATGAAGCTCAAGCTGAACAGAACATTGTCAAAGGAAAGAAACGATGGATAGGCATGGTACCTCAGTATTGCAGTTCTCCTGAAGCAAATGCCATGTCACATCCCAATTTCATGCTTTGCAGCAAAAACCTCACTTTGAGACACATGAATTGCAAAGATCTATCAAGTACAATGAGGAGATGCTAGAAGACTTGATACAAGGAGAGAAGGAGAGCCAAGACCTAATGGAACTTGGAAGAGCTTTGTAGATATGTGGCTATGCTGAAAGTGACTAAGTTTTGAAGTTGTCAGAGCTTGAGCACAGAGCGAGAAAGCCCTGGAAACTAGGGATTTCTACCTAGCTGATGTAAAGCAGCCACAAGACAATATTAATGAACATTCACATGAAGGTGTACAAGATGCTCTGCAGATGACAGGGGCTAAGGAGGACAAGAACTGTCTCAAAGAAGAGCAGTAGCAGAAAGGATTTTCAGTCTGAGCCCTGTTTAAATGAGACATACAGAACCAATTCAGATTGTTTAAGAATAGTAGCATAGCTCTGCATCATCCAGGCTGAGTACGGCACAGTGCCCTCAGGAAAGCTAGGCCTTCTGGATCCTACTATCAAGTCTTTCACACAGTTAACAAATCAAAAGCTAAAGCACCTGAAAACTCCCAACACTTTAAAACATTTTCTCCTCCAAAAACCACACAGAATTAAAAAAGGAGAACAACATATTTCATAACAGATTTCAGCACATCAGCATTATAAGTCACAAGACATACACTAGCAAGGATGTACATGTCATAAAGCAGCCAAAAAAACATGACTGCTGTGAAATATATTGACATTAAATGCAAAAATGGTTGTCATTGCCTTTATTTATCACACCCTTCCTAATTTTATACTACTAACAGAACAAGAAAAAAACCACATATCCAGTTCTTAAGAGGTAAGATACTCCTAGTGCTCATGTTCCAGATGAAGAGGAAGTTTCATGTTATTTCCTTAGAAATCATTTAAATGCAGAAAGATTAAAGATGAAGAAGCAAGTTTGCAAAAGATCTTATCTGCAAGGGGAAAAAAAAATCAAAATCCTATTATTTAAACAACAGATCTTCTAGAATTTCCTCTCCTTTGTTTTGATTTTCTGTGTGCTCATGTAGAAATGGAAGGTAACTTTTTAAAAGATTTATTACCTCCTCCTCGTAGAATCTGAGGACAACCTAATATTTTTCCAGTTTTTCATTTACAGTATTTTTAAGGTTATTTAATGAAAACTGCTTAAACATTTCATAATGTCTCAAATCACACTCTTTTATACCAAGACTAGATACTGATTCAGTATTAAAACACAGAGAAGATGCCAGGTTTTGGAGGTTTTTGTCCACCATAATACATTAAATCCCTATTACAGAAAATATGAAGGTCCTAAAGCTTCAAAAGAAGCTATACTACAACAAAAAGGACTACATTTCACCATAACTCAAATAGTTTGCTATTATCTTTCTGAGGATCTTGTTAGTAGCCACATTTCAGAAAAATAACTTTTTCCTCTCTTTAAATTGCTTATGTTTAAGATATATATCTCTAGACTCAGAGCACTTATGAGCTTTATTATTGCATGACAACACATATGAAATACAGGAGACGGCAGTAGGAATCTCCAGGCTCTGTAACAATTTGCAGCGCATATATGAATAGTTAAAATTATTAGATTTTTATTCCCCAAAGTAAAATGTTTTTGATTGCTCAATAATACAGAACATTATTAATCCATTAGTTACCTCTTCATTTAGAAGCCTCAGAAGACCAAAGCAGCACATGGGCTGAAATCATACTACATTTCAACCTTTTCATTTCCTTCCATTAGCAGTTGAAAGTAGCTAACAACCACAATTAAAAGCAGTAACTTCACTGCTGAAGGTCTCTTCTGAAGGAAGCTATTTGTACAAACCACTGAAACTATTAGCAGGTTTAAATACTCCACCCAGAAAGAGGACACAACTTACAGGTGCTACTCAATAAGCACAGGCACTCTGAGGGTCAAAATGAAAGCCAATTTATACTTGTTCTTACTCCCCCTGCATTCAACAAAGAATCAATCATATACATGCTCTCCTTTCAGAAGTTCTTCTGAAGCAAATTCTGACAAAACTTTTCTACCAGCCATTTCTAAACAAAATGAGAGAGGACACCATCCAAAATCAGTTTCACTTTGAATAAAACTATTTAAAAACAAACAAAAACCTGCTATGTTTTAAAATGTAAAGTGTGAGCATATTGGCATTATATATCGCCGAAAAGAAATGTCCTCTTTTTATAGACAGCAGGTCTCACCTTGGTATACTCATCTTTGGCCTTGGTAAGCATCCGTAAAATATCCACTTCTTTGTTATTAGCAGAATTAATGATCATTGGGGAAACTCCTGTTCCCGTGCCCTGCTGTGCTTTGAATTGTTCCTGCT